TACCCCAGTTTGGATGGCGTCAAGCAGCGGCAGCTCGGTGTTCAAGAAGTCCTATGGCCAATGGCCAAGTCGCTAGTACCATCTCTCATATCCTCACTATCAACCTACCCCAGTTTGGATGGCGTCAAGCAGCTCGGTGTTCAAGAAGTCCTATGGCCAATGGCCAAGTCGCTAGTACCAAGTGTACATCTACAATAAGAAGTCCTATGGCCAATGGCCAAGTCGCTAGTACCATCTCTCATATCCTCACTATCAACCTACCCCAGTTTGGATGGCGTCAAGCAGCTCGGTGTTCAAGAAGTCCTATGGCCAATGGCCAAGTCGCTAGTACCAAGTGTACATCTATAATAAGAAGTCCTATGGCCAATGGCCAAGTCGCTAGTACCAAGCGTACATCTACAATTGATCCTGACGTTGTCCAGGGAGCTTAGGGAAACAACTGCCCAAACCATCTACAATTGATCCGGAGTCGCACAATGAGCTTAGGGATGTGTTGAGATTAACAAGAACAAGAAAAATAATAATGACAAAAAGGTAAAGAAGACAAGATTTACGTGGTTCGGCAATGTGCCTACATCCACGGGAGTGAAAGTATTCTCTTATTATTTGTGATGGTGATTGTGGTGACACAACCCTTTAGGGATACAACCAATATATTTATAGGCATCCAATCCCTATACAATAGGTCTACCCGTTTCACTCCTACTCCTAGTATGAGACAAACACTTATTCCTAATCCATACAAACACTTATTCCTAATCCATATATGAGACAAACTCAACAATCTCCACCTTAGCGAATATGTTCTTTAGGAGAAAAGATAACTCAACAATTCTCCACCTTGACGAATACGCTCTTTAGGAGAAAAGACTTATCTCACCATCTCCACCTTCACATATATGCCCTTTAAGAGAAAAGACTATCTCCACCTTTGCAAATATGCTTTTTAGGAGAAAAAGATAACTCAACAAATCTCCACCTTGGCAAATATGTCCCTTAGGAGAAAAGACTTATCTCACCATCTCCACCTTCACAATTATGCCCCTTAGGAGAAAAAACACTTATCTCACATATACACATGTGTAGGAACAACCATGCTCATCCCAACTAGCCAGCCACATGCATACGCAGCATCAAACGTTACCCAGTGCATGTACACGAACCGCTTTGTTCCAAGCCATTCGCCCCTCAGCCGTCGACCTGTTATACCGCCGCGACTCATGCTAACTGCCCCGTTCAGCTGACTTCCTGCATCCGGCCCATACCAAGTCCATATCCCCTCCTGGTATCCACGCTGCCCCAACACAACAACGCCCCTGCAAAGTCACACTAAACCCGTGTGCCTTGCTCAATGCTCCACTAACCAGTAATTGCCACTGGTCAGCAACACGCACCACGCAGCATCAAACGTTTCCCAGTGCATGTTCACGAACCGCTTTGTTCCAAGCAATCCGCCACAACAGCCGTGACTCATGCTAAGCCCGGCCCATACCAGGTCCATGTCTCATGACAAGCCCAACCCGTACCAGCCGTGACTCATCTCAAATTCGGCCTATACCGAGCCAATATTGACCCATATTGATACCAGGTCCACGACCCCTCCTGGTATCCGCGCTGCCCAACACTACAGCGCCCCTCACCACCTTTTCATCTAGCATCTAGAAACGCCCAACAAGTCCAAACAATGTTCGAACTTATTACTAGTTACCGCTAGAACATAACCTTCACTATAATAAGATTCATCAGCATGTACCACGTCCGTAGCTTCTTGCTTCTTCAACTCCTTCCAATCAACCTCTTCCAGATTTGTTGGATTTTCCACCTTCAAGGTTTTTAGAAGGCCCTGATATGCCAACAAATCATTTACCCTAGACCGCCATAACCCAAAATTCCCTATACCATCAAACTTTGATAACTCGAATTTTGTACTTGAACTGGCCATCTCAACAGAGCTCTGATACCAATTTGTTGAGATTAACAAGAACAAGAAAAATAATAATGACAAAAAGGTAAAGAAGACAAGATTTACGTGGTTCGGCAATGTGCCTACATCCACGGGAGTGAAAGTATTCTCTTATTATTTGTGATGGTGATTGTGGTGACACAACCCTTTAGGGATACAACCAATATATTTATAGGCATCCAATCCCTATACAATAGGTCTACCCGTTTCACTCCTACTCCTAGTATGAGACAAACACTTATTCCTAATCCATACAAACACTTATTCCTAATCCATATATGAGACAAACTCAACAATCTCCACCTTGGCGAATATGTTCTTTAGGAGAAAAGATAACTCAACAATTCTCCACCTTGACAAATATGCTCTTTAGGAGAAAAGACTTATCTCACCATCTCCACCTTCACATATATGCCCTTTAAGAGAAAAGACTATCTCCACCTTTGCAAATATGCTTTTTAGGAGAAAAAGATAACTCAACAGGATGCAACTGCCCAAACCTTAGTCAATTGATTGAAGAATGATCCAGAGGCTCAAAATGACCCTTGATCCAGAGGCTCAAAACGACCCTTGATCCAGAGGCTCAAAATGACCCTTGATCCAGAGGCTCAAAACGACCCTTGATCCAGAGGCTCAAAACGACCCTTTCCGTCCTAAGGAAGGCTACCTACGCTTCAAGTCGATCCTCTTTCAAAAGGAGCGACTGATACTAGGAGTCCGACATCCCCAAAGGAGCAGCTGATAGCAGGAGTCTGACATCCCCAAAGGAGCATCTCCTACATCTCCAACATCCCCTATATCGACGTTCGCGTCAAAATAGCCATGCGTTTATACCATTATTCAAGCTATGACAACAAATATACCATTATGCGAGCTATGACAACAAAAGAATGTTGGTCCCGAGAGGAAAAAGAGGGGGGGGGGGGGGGGGGGATTGAATATGGTTTCTTAAAAAATTTTACAAGAAAACTTGAAAAAAAAATTAAAAAAAAAAGTTTAATCGAGAGTGTGTTACCAACATATTTGCTAGTAACAGGTAGCAGAATACTTAAAAGTCACTTGCAGCAGATTTTGGTTGAGTGCAAAACATTCAGCTCAAAAACATGTAATATGTGTGCGTGTTATTGAGTCAATCATTTAGGTTTGTGCAATTACAAGAATTTTTATAGTGGTTTGGCACTAGCTTAGTCTACTCTTCCCCTCAACTCCAAGGAGGTTCCACTAATATTCAGTGTTTACATAGTGGAAGGCCACGCAGTGTATCCATCAAGCACTGTTGACCAAACCAATGACGTTCCCTTGACCCGGATGTGCACTCCTAGCGATCTTCAACATCTGCGTCGCAGCACCAAGGACATGATGAACCACCAAGTCCCCTTGTGCGCCAAGTTTCCAACCCAAAAAGGTGTGTTTTGTTTGTTTTCACGAACGGGTGGACGTGAATATGAAATTCACAAGAGCTTCTAGTTGCTCCTAGATAAAGCTTATTAATGCCCCTTCTTTGTCTAGACTTGAATTTTAGCTCCTTCTCTCATGCAAAATAAATCCACAGCACTTCAATATTATTTTTGCAGCTTGATAGGCAGTAATAGGAAGCTTCCAATAGTTCTAGTAGCCCTCTACTTATAGAACAAAGGTGGGGTAGGGGCCCTCCACTTATAGAATAAAGGTGGGGTAGGAGCCCTCTACTTATAGAATAAAGGTGGGGTAGACTGGTCATTTGACTCTGAAAAGAATCTGACGGTTGTCCCTTATTGCGACAGGTGTCTAAATCTGCCACAATGCTTCAAATGTATTGCAGACATCCGTTTGTCTCTTCAGGAAATACTTCGTCCTTTTCCAAAGGATATGGTTGAAATGAGAATACGGAATAGATTATAACCACTAGAATCGGGAAAGCGAACATACATACCTCCAGGACAGCTTGTCATACTTTGTTCACCAAAGATAAAACAAGTTTTTGTGTTCGTTTGTTTAAATGGTGTCAAGGTTTCTTCCGGTTATTCATCAGATATTATAAAATTTGAGTAAATTAATGAAAGACTTTAAATTGGTTGGCATGAAGTCTCATGACTGTCATGTATTAATGCAGCATATGTATGTTACCTGTTGCTATTCGGGAGATCTTACCGAGACATGCTAGACAAGCCATAACAAAACTTTGTTTCTTTTTCAATGTCATTTGAGTAAAATTGTTGATCTGGAGGTGTTAGATAATTTGTAGGCTAATGTGGTTGACTTTATGCCAATTTGAAATGTATTTTCCCAATTTCTTTTAATATTATGGTACACTTAATTGTTCACTTGATGGGCAAAATTAAGATGTGTGGTTCAGTAGTTCTGACGTCCATGTAACCGTTTTAATTTGCAAGATATATGCGAATATTGAAAGGATATGTGAGAAATTAAAGTACGTGATATTGACTTGAAGGGAGTATAATACTTTGTATTACTCTTCACATTATTTTACCACAAAATATAGTTACACCTTTCCAACAAAATGAAATTGCAACATGCTCCAAACTTAAGCATCACCAAGAACAATACGTTAGAAACTAACATTTTAATGTGTTTCAACTAATTAATTAAATACATGAGTCCATTGATATAAAAGTATATATTAGAGAATTGAATAATTTTTCCAGCCTAATAAAAGACATGCATGAGTTTGTGACTATTGTGGAACTAGCACAATAATCCTGAAGTAGTATTAGAATCCAAATGATGAGTTTCCCCTTCATTTTCTAGAGAAGCTTGAAGTTTACAAGCAAAATTTGAGCATTCGTCCAAAGAAGGCAACCATTTGTTGAAGAATGTTACACCATCTCTATCCGCATTGAACAATGCACTAATTGGAGTGACAGTTATCTATAATTTAAAAAAAAAAAAAATTAGTGATATGTTAATGATAATACTCCGACAAATTAAATAGCAAATAAACATATATATCAAATAAACAAACATTACTTACATATCCTTCTTGAAGAGAAGAATAATCTGTTCCATCTTTATCTACTTGCTTTGCTCTAACCTGTTAGAATCACAGGAAATAATTTAGACGGTATGTTATGAAAACACAAAAAAAATTAAAGTAGCTGTTAAGGGAAAGTGATCTCACCTCTCTAGTGAATAGAAAACGATCCTCCTGAGTGCTAACAACACTTTGCTGTGTAGTTTGTGTTGGAGTCATGTCCATAGTCATAGTTGATAACATCTTCCCTCCTTCTGCTTCGCAAGTAACTTGCTTCCACCCGGTTCTGATGAAACTTTTGCCTTGCTTAGTGAGGCGATAACCCTTGTGGTTCACAACATCGGTTGGCACAGTAATATTGAGAAAGCAATTAAGGGGATAAGTTTGATTCTTGATATCGGCCAATATAGCAGTAATAATGGGTATGAAAGCCTGAGCAGCTAGTGTGAAGTCATGAAGATTGCTCTTTCCATGAACCCAGTCATATGATAGAGAGACAGAGGGGACGCCATTGACGAAAGCCTCTCGAGCACCAGCAACTGTTCCGGAGTAGACAATGTGATAGCCACAGTTGCTGCCCATATTAATACCGCTTATCACCAAATCAGGGACTGAAGAAAACAGAGCTTTTGAGATACCCAGGGAGGCACAATCTGCCGGAGTTCCAGCAACTGCAAACGCGGTGGCTCCGGCGATGTCGTGAACTCTTTTGGCCCGAATTGCGTGGCGCCAGGTTATGCTGTGACTAACCGCCGATTTCTCGGAGTCTGGAGCGCAAACGAGGACGTTGAAGCAATTAGTGGAGACGAGGACGCTAACCAGAGCTCTCAATCCAGGAGCATCCACTCCGTCGTCGTTGGTCACCATCACAGTGGGCAGATTTTGGGAGTAGTAAACGCCGTTGTTCTCCATGGCAGCTGGGAAAACGATATGATCTTCAAAGGATTGTGGAATTCAGAGTGTAATATCGATCAGTTCTGGGTGGAGTAGGTAAAGAGCGCTGGCCTCTGTATTTAAAGGCAACATCGGCTGCACTACGGGCATGGTGGTGAGTGCAAGAAATCCGTATCTGGCGGCTGGCGGGCTATAGACCTGAAGAAGAAAATAAAATAAAAAATGCAAAATTCAACATGTGGCAATATGATGAAGATTTAAGAAAGCTGGTCATATTTTTAAATAAAGAAAGGTGGTCATGGCGAAGGTTCTTCACGTTTTCCAAGAAGAAAAATGGCCATGGTCCGTTGAAGATTATCTGACGACTGACTAGAAATTTCAGTATGATTAATTGGCTAAAAAATGCATTTATCTATAATTATAAAAATGTGGTACGCCTTATTTGATAATTTATTAATAAGATGTGTATTGAGAGTGGGGGTTCATCTTCATGCAGCCCCACTCATGAGATATTCTAATGCCGCTCAGATGACAATTCTTCTTTTTATAAAACTAGTATTTGCACCCGTGCGATGCACAGAATGAATTTGTTGTAATATATTAAGAATATTTGAATCGATATATAATTATTTATATTAGAACATCAAATATTATATAGTGGACTTAAAGATATGATTTGAATCGTTTAAATATTTTGATGTTATCATTGCTTGAATTCGTGCAAATAATTGCTCAAATTCATAGCTAATGTCTAGATAGATGTATGGATGCGGTCCAAACATTTTCAATGTGGGATAAAAAAGATCCAACATTATTTACAAAGTAGAGCTTGTGGCTCTCTTTTGTCTTCTTCTTATTTTTTAAAATTTTAATTTTATTTTGTATATCCATTTGTTTGGATTATTATTATTATTATTATTATTATTATTATTATTATTATTGTTGTTGTTGTTGTTGTTGTTGTTGTTGTTGTTGTTGTAATTTGATTACTAATAAATTCTCCAAAAGTTTAACAAATTCGTCATTTTAACATTTTAACTTTAATAAAAACACACAAAAAAAATTATATAATAATTCAATAATTTGCTCCAAACTGCTAAAAACTAATGCAACACATACATTTTGGGTTAATATTTCACAAACCCACTAATAATAAATAAATAAATAAATAAATAAATAAAAACTAAAATAAGAAAACAAAGCTAAGACTTTCTTAAATAAAAACTTTTTGGCTTCTCAATACTTGCCCACATTGATAGGCAATCAATTATGTTTGTAAGATGAGTATTGCTCCTCTTATATACAAAGGGAGTCTGTGACTCCCATTTGTTTTTTTTTTTCTTTTTTAATTTTAATTTTATTTTGTATATAGTTTTGTTTGGATTATTATTATTATTATTATTATTATTATTATTATTATTGTTGTTGTTGTTGTTGTTGTTGTTGTGGTTGTTGTTGTAATTTGATTATTTGAAAAATTCGTCAAAATTTTAAGAAATTCGCGTGTTTAACATTTTATATTTAATCAAAACAACAAAACTATTATTTAATAACTTAGCAATTTGCTCCAAATTGCTAAAAACTAAAACAACACATATACATTTTGGGTTAATCTTTCTCAAATCCCCTAATAAATTAAAAAATTTAAAAAAAAAATTAAAATAAGAAGCCATTAAGATAAGGTTTCTTAAATAAAAGTCTTTTTACACGTTGGGCTTCAATAGGCTGAGAAAGTTTATATGAACAGATACTACATGTAACAGGGTGAATCGAATAGTTATGTTCATAATTACTGAACTATATGTTAATAATTATAAAGCTAAATATTCATAATCTTTGAACTTCATATTCATAATTATTAAACTCTATATTTACAATTACAGAACTCTATGTTCATAATTACTGAACTATATGTTCATAATTATAAAACTATATATTCATAATTTTTGAACTTCATATTCACAATTATTGAATCTCTATATTCATATACATAACTATATGTTCATAATTATGTTCACAACACTATGTTCATAATTATAGAACTATATATTTATAATTTTTGAACTATATATTCATAATTATAAATAATTTTAGAACCGTGTCTACCTTGCTAGGTGGACACGGTTCCATAGCACAATTTGACGGGTCAATAGTACTAAAAAAAAAAAGAGTCTTTGGACTTCTCAATACTTGTCCACATTGATAGGCAAGCAATTATATGTTTGTATTGCTCCTCTTATATAGATGAGTTCAAAAGCTCATATTTCCAAACATTTTCAATATGTGATCAAAATGATCCAACATCATTTACAAAGGGGAGCCTCTGGCTCCCTTTTGTCTTATTCTTATTTTTTTTATTTTAATTTTATTTTGTATATCGTTTTGATTGTATTATTATTATTATTATTATTATTATTATTATTATTATTATTATTATTATTATTATTATTATTATTATTATTATTGATTATTGATAAATTCACAAATATTTTAATAAATTTGTCATTTTAACATTTTAACTTTAATCAAAACACCAAAAAATTACTGTATATAATAACTTAGTAATTTGCCCCAAACTACAAAAAAACTAATACACCACATACATTTTGGGTTAATCTTTCACAACCCCCACTAATAATAAATAAATAAATAATAAATAAATAATAAATAAATAAAAACTAAAATAAAAAGACAAAGTTAAGGCTTCTTAAATAAGAACCTTTTGACTTCTCAATATTTGCTCACATTGATTGGCAAACAATTATAGGTTTGTAAGAGGAGCATTGCTCCTCATATATAGAGGAGCTCAAGAGCTCCTCATTCAAGACATTTTCAATGAGGGATCAAAATGATCTCACATCATTTACAAAGGGGAGCCACCTTTGTCTTCTTGTTATTTTTTTTTTTTAATTTTAATTTTATTTTGTATATTGTTTTGTTTAGATTATTATTATTATTATTATTATTATTATTATTATTATTATTATTATTATTATTATTATTATTATTGTTATTGTTATTGTTATTGTTATTGTTATTGTTATTGTTATTGTTATTGTTATTGTTATTGTTGTTGTTGTTATATATTTTAATTTTAATTTAATTTTATTTTATTAAATTATTACATAGGATTTTTATTATACTTGAACAATAATATTATCAATTATATTATAGATTATAATACCATACATAATATTATGAATTATGCAATATTATCAATTAATAGATTTTATTTAATTTGCATTTGACATTACTTACCAAATAAGCTTTACTACAAAAGTTTGGGCAGGAAAATGAAATGCGATGATTTTGTTTTTATAATAATAATAATAATAATAATAATAATAATAATAACAATAATATATGATATATATATATAGATTAATCATTACCCTAATACCTAATTTATAATTCTGATTTTAAAATTCTTATTATTCTTTTTAACATTAACATTTGATTAGTTTTATAAATTCCGTGTAATTTATATATACACTATGTATATAGTCGAGGATAAAATTGGTAATTTTATTATAGTCAAGGGACCATTTTGGTAATTAACTGTATAATTAATTATAAAATTATTAAATTTTAAATATTACCACAATATTCATTTTCATTCATTTTTCTTTCATAATTAATTTCTAAGATTTTAAATATCATTTTTCCTTCAAAATTGTCTTCCTAACCTTTTTTCTTGCATGTATACTGAAATACAAAAGGAAAAATAAAAAATTTGCCCTCTATATGCAAGTAGGTCAACAAATGTCTATATAAATAATTAATTATAAAATTATTAAATATTTATATAAATAATTAATTATAAAATTATTAAATATTTAATATTTCCTCAATACTAATTTTCATTAATTTTCCGTTAATAATTATTTCCTAAAATTTCAACATTCCTTTTTCTTTCAGACTTATTGACTTACATTCCTTTTTTATTCCATCTATACAGAAATACAAATGAGAAATCATATATATATATATATATATATATATATATATATATATATATATATATATATATATATATATATATATATACTTAAAAATGGATGCAATTTATTACTGAATTAAAATTATATAAACTAACGTAATTTGAATAGAATTTGAATTAAAACTTATTATATACTATGCAGTATTAAGAAAATACAAATGATATTTTGACTTCAATCATTTCTTTTTCCTTTATTATTATAATAAAGCCATGGCAAAAGAATAAAAATAAAAATCATTCTTC